GGAGGGCAAAAATGTCCCTAACATCCCAGCCCTTAAACGCGAAAAGGTACCCACCGAGCGTTTACCGAGAATTCTACAGTACAGTGTTTTAACGATTGACAGTCCAACTTTGTAATAAGCATTCCTACTTAAGACAAGTCCAGTATATAATGTATCGCATAACACATACAAGTTCACATTTCGCCCCCTGTAGACTCCAAAGGACACAACTTAATTACAGGCTTGGTCAGGATCGACCAGCTGGTCTTCACTCGGACCGCTCTGACTAATCCGTCCCTTCCAGGGAAAGTCTGAACTATTCGTCCCATCGACCAAGTCTTCCAGGGGTGTTCTCATCCCCGATCAGAACCACATCTCCATTCTGCAAATTTCTCTTTGGCCATAACCACTTTTGACGCAACTGCCAGGTGGGTAAATACTCCCGAGCCCAGCGTTTCCAAAACTGGTCGGAGAGAAACTGAACATGTCTCCAACGCCTTCCATAGATATCACTGTGGTAAAACCGGCCGGGTACCAGATGCGGTCCTGCACGAAGAAGTAGTAAATGATTTGGTGTCAGGGGGGGGTTTCATCATTCGGGTCATCAGATAAAACTGTCAACGGTCTTCCACTCACGATCGACTCCACCTCACAGAATAGGGTGGACAAGCGTTCATCATCTACTATCTGTCCCCTGAGAATGACATTCAGCACCTTTCTGAACGTTCTGATCTGTCTTTCCCATACCCCGCCCATATGGGAGGCTGCTGGGGTTTTAAGCTCCCACTTGATCTCTTTCTGCAGAAAATGAGTTTTCACCCGCTCCCAACTTTCCAGCTCCGCATTGCCTCACACAATTCCTCTTCCCCTCCAACGAAATTAGTACCGTTCTCCCACCTAACCTCCTCTGGTACGCCTCTCCTGGCACCAAACCTCACGAAAGCATTGATGAATGAATTAGTTTCAAGACTGTCAAGCTTTTCTACGTGTATAGCTCGCATAGTAAGGCAGGTGAACAAGCAGCCGTAACGTTTCAGTTGGCTCCGGCCCCTCTTCACCACAAAAGGGCCAAAACAGTCAACACCAACATTAGAAAATGGGGGGTTGTCTGGCGTTACCCTTTCGGCAGGTAGATCTGCCATCTGCGGAACTTCTGGTTTTCTTTTGAGCCTCTTACACAGTACGCATTCCCGTAGGATTCGCTTCACCACTGGTCTAGCCCCTACGATCCAAAACTTCTGCCTGATGAGGGAAAGGACGTACTCCTTACCAGAATGGCCGCTCTGAAACTCATGAGCTCGTCTCGCAACAAGCCCTGAAACCCGATCATTCTTTGGCAAAATAATGGGATGCTGAGCTTTCTCGGGTATGGGTGCATTTTTCAGACGGCCTCCTACTTGGAGTAGCCCTTCTTCATCCAGAAACGGTTCCAGAACAATGATCGGGATGTTCTTCACAACAGGCTTTCTTGATTTAAGAGCCCTTCTCCTTTGAAGTGTTTCCGCTGAACGGACTCAACGATAGCTGTTTTGCAGCTTGCAGCTCTAGTGGGTCTAGAGGATCAGCGATCACAGAAGGTGGCCTTTCCTTGCCTTCAGTCTTCACTCTCAGCCAATCCTTGCAGCGAACTAACCAAGCCACACTCTTTTTCAGACGATGCCAGTAAGAGTAACTCTCTATAAAACGGATCCTGGGATCTTCTGATTCTTTTTCTTTATCCGAACTAGGCATGTCGTGTCTCCTTCTATCCTCAGCGTTATACTGCACCTTTGAAACGCAACACTTAACTTGATTCTTTGCTTCCTCATCTTCACAAGTATTTCTGGCACAGCTGGATTGGTGGGCCAGGCAGTCTCATCTTGCCAAAGGAATTCTGGACCCTGCTTCCAACGATCACTGGAAATCATATCAAACCCGTTCAAACCTCTCAAGCCGTCATCAGCGGGGTTTTCCTTTATGGCCCACCTTCCCCCCTCTTACTGCAACTGTAGATGTATTGAAGAACAATCATACTGTCAGTCCAGAATATAGAGTCTTGAATCTCCATAGAGAGCTCACGGGACATTATTCGATCCATTCTCACGGCAATCACAGCAGCCGAAAGTTCAAGCCTTGGTATGGTCATCTGCCTAATAGGGGCCAATCTGGACTTCCCCAACAACAGGGAGCAGTGAATTTTTCCCTCTGCATTCACTGTGCGGAGATAGGAAACAGAACCATAGGCTGACATAGAAGCATCACAGAAATGATGTAGTTCACATTTCGCTGGTGTTCCGAAACTAGCAGGCACCAAACAATGCTCAACCTTGAACTGATTCAATAGTGGTAGCTCCTCCAACCACTTGCTACACTGCACCTGATTCTCTGGGCTTAGTGGATTGTCTCATTCCTTGCCGGACTTATACTCGTCTTGGAGGATCACTTGGCACGAAGAACAAACGGGCACACCAGTCCCAGAGGGTCGTAGACAGAACTAACTATACTCAGAAGCCCTCTCCGAGTGAACTCTCTCTGCTTACTCTTGATCTAAATGCCAAATTGATCAGTGTCAATGTTCCAGTGAATGCCTAAAGCCCTCTCAACAGGCAGAGAACCGCGGTCGAGATCCAGGTTCTTGATTCCCTTCGCTCTCTCTTCTTCAGGGATAGCCTCCAGTACCCTTCGGTCATTACTGACCCACTTTGTCAGTCGAAAGCCCACAAGCGCAAGCAACTTGCATAAGGTGTGTACAATGTTAATGGCCTCCTCAGTAGTACCAACAGACTTGAGGCAATCATCAGCATAAAATTTTTCAGCACAGCTTGGATTGTCTCTTCGGGGAAATCCGTTCTGTGAACATCTGCCACGCGCCTCAGGGCAAAACTAGCACAACTCGGACTCCAAACTCCTCCAACCAGATGCCCACACATCCTGTAGACCTCTACTTCACCACCAATCTCACCGTTCTTCCATCAAAGAAAGCCCAAGGCATCGCGGTGCTTGGGAGGCATCCGAACCTGATGAAACATTCCTTCGATAGCTCCCATTACAGCTACTTGCCCTTCCCTAAAGCGTAGTAAGACCCCTACGAGGTTGTTTGTAACTTCAGGGCCTTGCGAAACTTCTTTGTTCAGCGACGTGCCACCAAAGGTCGCTGCACAGTCAAATGGAATTCGCAATTTCTCAGGTTTGTTTTCATCGACAACATTGTGGTGGGGAAGATACCAAGTCCGCACAGGTGTCGCACCTAGTTCCTCGTCAAGCACTTTCTCTGCATAACCCTTATCAAGAAGCTCCTGAATTCTACCCTTGTACCTAGCGTGTAACTCGGGGTCTTTCTGGAACCGATGCGCCAACGACTGAAGCCTCTTTTCAGCAATCAATCAATCAATTAATCAATCAATCAATCATTTTATTTAGTAATGCAGGTTGTAAGGAAGGGGGCAGCCATAAGGCTGATGTGGACCTACAACGAACTAATAAAATGTAAAACTAAAATAATTCATAAAGTCACCCTATGGTATTTAAATATTCAATATGAATCATTGTAATAAAGTTCATTAGCAAACAAGTCACGAATTAATTCAAAAATTTACATGCAATGTAATAAAACTTAAAAATATACAAAATCTCTGTCTTTCATAGCAATCATAGGCGCTTCAAAAGAGAAGCTATTTATGTTCTGTGAGAGCTTACGTAAAATATTTTTAAAACTGTCTTTTTGAATGTTCACATTAAAATTTGCCAGCCTAGCAATAAAATTCCAGATTACAGGTCCTCTGTATTGTGCTGATTCCTTTCCCACTTTGTAGTTCACTCTAGGGATTTCAACCTGTAACCCTCCTGTACGTGATGGTCTGTTGCGTAACTTCAAATTAAAAGGGGCATATAAGATTTTATCATTTAAAACATCGTGCATCAGAAGAAGGAGTCTTCTTTTATATATGTAAGAAATTGGCAACCAATTTAACTCTTCAAGACTTTTATCCTGGTGGATAACTCGTGCAGCTCTTGCATGAATAGGGTTTAAGGATTCCATAATAGAATAATTGCAGTTTCCCCACACCACAATACCATACGATACCGCAGGTACAATAGATTTAAAGTAAATTTCCTCCAGCGCTTTCACAGGAAGCTTCTTCATTCTTTTTAATGCGCCCACTTTCTGTGCAAAAGATTTTTTTACATGGTCCACATGCAATGCCCATGTAAGCCTATTGTCAATGATTAATCCCAAACAAGTAGT